CACCATATATGATTTTTCCACCAGACTGAGAAGTGCACTGATAATTCTCTTCAATATTTAGACTCTACTAAGTCTTGTTGTCTACTGAACCAAAAGAATAACCTGACTCTCATCAATATTTACTTAATCTGAGAATCATATCATAATTCATTGGTTAGCCTTCTATCCTTCTCCTAATTTGTCACTAAAGGGAGCTAGCAAGGGAATTTCTATCTTCAAGAGCACTGGTTGAAGAAAAACAAAGGTACTCTCCCCTTTCAAGGAAACTCAATTGGTTTTGTATCCAGGGAAAGCTCTATAGTAACTAAACATCCTCACCTTCTCCCTACTTTGGAATATCTCCACGTAATTAATAAGTCAAATTTGTTTCCCAAGCCCAATAATTCACTGAATTCTGCCACTTCTCTCCTATTCCCCAAACCCATACTGAATTGTCCAAGCTACTACTTGGTAATATAAATAATAAAATGGGCCTTATTCAGTTCATTACCACCTCCATGATCTTATATTTCTTAAAAATTTCCAGAATAAAGTCAATTTCAATCAAAAGATTCATAGCATGTTGGAGTAGAAAGAGAACTTCATAGCTGTCTAGTCCAACCCTATTCTTATTTTTTTCCCCAAATGTAAACACTGAAATACAGAAAGAAGTAGCCTTACACTAAGTCACAGTATCATAGATTTAGACCTGGAGAGGACTTTATGGATTATTGAATTCCACCCATCTCATTTCACAGTTGAAGAAACTGACTCAAAAAAGGGAGGGCACTTTATTAAGGTCATACAGTTAGAGAATAATAAAGCCAAGATTTAACTCAAAGTACTCTGTCTTTATATCTAATCTACTATGCTATAGTATAGCTCATATATGGGCAAGATGAAGACTGAAAACACCTCTTCTGGCTCCTATTCTAGTGCCCTTTTCACTATTCTGTCATGTGATGTGGTTACAACCAAATATATTCATATGTCATACACAAGCACTTATTAAGAAACAAGTATGTGGGCTCAGATTTGTACAATCTAGTCACTGCTCAGATTTTTACAATCCAGCCAATAACTCACAGGTGCTCAGATTCCTTAAGAGTCTGGCCAATATGGTGGATCTTTAATAAACATTGTCTTTGGCTGCAAAAACCTTGGGTCAAATTCTTTCAGGCTGGACCTATGTGTTGTGATTTTGGGGTCTTAGCACCCCTAAATCCCTAAACCTCAGCATTTTGATGGCCCATACGGGGAAACTGCCTTAACCCCAAGTTCTTCTCAGCCAAGACTGGAAGGTATGTAAGCCTCCTCCCCCTCCTTTCTTGCTCTGCAGTTGGGGTCACTCTCCAAGTACCAACACTTGTAGGTGCTTTTCAGGTAGACAGTTTCAAGGCTGTGTTGTGCTCAGCCTGACACTCTCAGGCTATCGGTCCACTGGGTCAGTTCGAGGCCATGGACCTGGGTACACCTTCTGCAGCACAGAGGAAAAGGACAGATGCTCTGTCTGGAAGTGTATGCCCAATTCACTTAGTGTTAGGGAACTGGGGAAAACTGCAGTTGCTTTTTGGTTCCCTGAGGCTTACTTACTCTCTTCTCTCTGCACCCCTGAATCCTTCTTCATGGAGGTTACAGTGAAAAGTTAGAACAGCTAAAAGTATCTTGGCAGATTCTGGAGGTTTTGTGACTGATCATTAAGGAGTTTTGAAACTCCTCCTTACAACCCTGGTCACTCCTTTCTCTCACTCCCTTCCCTTGAGTCAAGAGGGTATCTGTTAATCCCTCTCAGAGGAAAAGAGAGTTGCACCCTTTGCCCCTCACCTTTGATTTTCCCCTCCCCCAATTGGGAAAGGAAAGAGGGAGGAGGAGCAGCAGCTACAACATCACCCAACTGGCAATGGCCTTGGGCCCTAGGGCAACCTTTGCCTGGAAGCATCACCCAGGTTCAGCACATCCTGCTCAAGGTAAAGAAGCTGGCCTCTGAACTTGGGTAAGCACACTCTTTTAAATTTGTAGCTTTAACTGTTATTGATGAGATGTTGATTCTCTGTGTAAAGTAATTTAGAGATGCATTTAACAAAACTGAAGTCACCTGATTGGTAATGGGTTTGTTTCAAGTTTCAGATTGGTGAAAACTTTGTATCAGTTATGTCAAGCAACTTTTCATAATTTGGCAACTGCTAAAATAATTTGGCTACTGTTGGTTATTGTTTTAATGTGTAAACTTGCCAAAAAGCTCATTTGGGTTACGGCTTGCTGAGAATTTACAAGTGTATAGAAATCTCTACTGAATGGCTTTTTACACCAGGACAAATTTAAGTTTGAGATGTAAATCCTACTAAAGGTTTTCCTAAGCTGTGATTAGTGAAACTTGCTGTTTGAGGAAAAAAGCTCATGATTTTATTTTGAGTTATTTAATAGATCATAATAATCCATCAATAAATCAATAATCTACCATCTGAGAAATGCCACAAGCTACTCAGAAAGAATGTGACACTGGTGGGAAGTCAGAATCGGGGAAAGCTAAGAGGACAATTTTAGCCTCGGTCTAAGATGGGATCCTCCTGGCTCAGTTTCCCCATTATGGTCCTTTGTAAAGGAATGTTATCCACCTGGTTATTCCTGAGTCTGGCTATGAAGTGGATTTGATACTGCCTGGTTGGAAAACAGAATTATCTGAATCCAAACAGAGCTAAGGATGTTTTATCCTGTCATATATGGGCCTTGAAGTTTTTTTTCTGTCAGATTAGTGTCTTCCAGACTACAGGCCATTCACCTACAGTTGTTAGCAAACAGCAGGTACCAGCCAATGTCCCCACATTGCTCCCTGGATGCATCCTGTGCTCGGTTCCAGTCAACCTCCTCTTTGGGACCCCCTCGAGGCAGGGACAGCTCTATGCCCCTTGCCACCAGGAAGCAGTTTCAGAAGCCAAGACCTTTGCCCCTTACCCCAAAAGAATTTGGGTCTCTTGTTTGAGGAGGGGAATCATGAGGATGGGATCTAGACCCCAAAAAGGAAAAATCCTGGACTTTCCCACATGGCCAAATCTCTGGAGTTTGCCTGAGGCTATAATCCCATCAACTGGCCTTTCATTGTGGCTATGCCCAATCTCCCAATTCTGCTACCCTTAACCTAGCCTAGCCTTCCATTGTCTTACCTCCCTGTGGTCCCCCACCATTTGCCACCCTTTCCTATCTAGGCTTCATTCTCCCTTGGCTATGAGGTCCAGGTACCAGGTGTTCTATTCACCCCAGCTTACTTGCCACTCCCATTCAGATCTTCCTTAGAACCCTCCTCCAGTTGTCCCAAACTACTTGGCCACTCCTAGATCCCTCCCACAGACTTTCTGTATATAAGGTCCATATTGTCTCCATTAAGGTGCTCAGATTCTTACAGCCACTGCTCAGATTTTTACAATCTACCCAACAGCTTACACATGCTTAGATTCCTTAAGAGTCTGGCCAATATGACAGATCTTTAACAAACCTTGTCTTTGGCTGAAGAAAAAAGAAAGAAAGAAAAAGAAAGAAAGAAAGAAAGAAAGAAAGAAAGAAAGAAAGAAAGAAAGAAAGAAAGAAAGAAAGAAAGAAAAAGAAAGAAAGAAAAAGAAAGAAAAAGAAAGAAAGAAAGAAAGAGAGAGAGAAAGAAAGAGAGAGAAAGAAAGAGAGAGAGAAAGAAAGAGAGAGAGAGAGAGAAAGAAAGAAAGAAAGAAAGAAAGAAAGAAAGAAAGAAAGAAAGAAAGAAAGAAAGAGATATGTGCCAGACATAGGCTTTACTTGAACTAAGATACTTCTTTCCAAATGTGAATAAATTATTTTCTCATCAAATAAAATAAAATACTTCTCACTTTATCTCTTTTTTTTTCCTCCAAAGAGAAACAAATGACTATCTGTATTAGTCACTAAAACTGAATACGGAGCTATAGAGGGAGAGTTGTACTGATTTGGTATTATCTGACATTTAGAGGAAAGTTTTAAGGTGTTTTAATCGTTTGAGGATTATGTGGGCCCTATTTTGAATATTTAAATTCTATAAAATGGAAGCATAACTGAGAAAACTAAAATGTACAACATCCTATTGTTTCTTTTTTTATGATCATTTTATTGCCAAATAATTTTTATTTGTGAACCTAAGTCTTTCGATACATGAGGACGGATCGTTAGATTTTTAAAGGAACTCCATTAAAAGGGTTGTATTTTGCTGAAGACTTTCAAAGTTATCTGCAGCTGAACTTTCCTATGCAGTGGGATTCTAGAGTCACGGCTGTCAGCCTTTTGGTGCGCTTCCCAAAGAACTGAAATCCAAATGTGAATTTTGGGTGTTGAGCTGATGTTCCCATTTCACTTAGACACAGCAAATGGATGCTTAAATAACCAAGCACTGATTTGATTGCCCCTCAATGGAATCTGATTGCCCAAATTTGAAAATTGGGTCCCAACTGTTTAATAACATCTGATCCGGATCGTAAACCTTCAGCAGTATCATTAGCATATCAATTACAAAGCAACAAAAAACTGGCACCCCACCTACTCCAAACATAGCCAATCACCATAAAGATCAGTAGCAGATTTTTTCTCAAAGAGTGGACAATGAATCTGTTCTCCCATTCTTATTTAAAGAGAGGGAGGTCTTCCAATAAAATATTTCCTTTTCAATGCTTCAGATAAGGAGCTAGTCACCAGAACCTCCTTAGAACATAGAGCAGAGAAAGACCATGAAAATAACTTATTTCACCTTCTAATTTTATATTTGAAGAAGCAGAGGCCCAGAAAAGAGAAATGACTTGATGAAAGTTATGCAACAAGTTGATGCCAGAGCTGGGAGAAGAAACATGATCTCTTGATTTTAACCACAGTGCTTCACTGTGGTCCGCATGTCTGCTTCACATTATCTTTCATCTTATTAAGGATAACATCGATTTTTCAGTTTAAGGGGTGGCATCTGTAATTTTTTAAAGCTTCTCATCGCTGTTCCTCCCTCCAGGCCAGGAGCTCTGGAATTCAGAATAATTACTCACCTGTACTGGACTGGACAATTCCAGAGTCCACAGTTTGTCCAAGGAGATCATATTGATTAAGGCGAGAGCCATCTTCTGCTACAACCACAGACCGTGCTGGTTCTCGGGTCCATTCATATACAACCTCTGCTCGAGTGTAAGCATCTAATTGAAAAAGAAGACTAATGTGTCACATCCCAGAACTCACAGAATTGTTAGAATTGGAAGGGACTCAGTGAATATCTAATCAAACCCATCTCTTCAGAAAGGCAAGGTATAATTATCCTCATTTTATGGATGAAGCAACTTGTGCCTAGAAGTATTGTGATTATACTTGTGGTTATAAAGCTAATATGTGTCTGAGGGACAACTAGAATTCAGAGATGTATCTGAATCCATTTTTTTTTTACACAAGGCAAGAACCACAAATTACACTTAGCACAAAAAAACTCCTTCATTTTGGAGAGTCCATGGCAATGGAATGTGTGGGGATATGTGAACACAAGCATGAAGTCAGAGGGAGAGCAATGGGGCCCAAGAGATAGCATCTTTCTTTTTTTTTAAATTATTCTAATCAACTAAGTGCCAAGCTGTGTTATTTCTGCATTGCTGAAAGACAAGTGCTATTGATACTCTAAAGTTCAGTACCTGAGGCAAAGCTTCAGTCACCACATCCTAGTCACCACTCTAAAAGATCTCAAGTCTCCCTGGCTCTTGTCACAGGAATTCTTCTATTAAATTCCACTGCCTTTTAAGAATATACTAACAAATTATGATTTATCAGTATATATATTTTCACAGAAATTTTTATTAAGAAAGGTAGAGTGAAAAATTAGAAGCTGTATTCATTCTGTCATATAATATATATATGTATCGATACATATATATATATATATACACGTAGAAAATAAGGTTTGAAGATAATTCATTTTCCAAGAAATTTCAGTTACTTTTTCCTTTTTATTGAATAATAATAATGATTATAATAATACAACTGTGCTCTATCCACAACTGTATTTGTGTTGCTTTATATATTTCTCAAAGTATTTTCACTTACATTATTAAAAATATCAGAATAAATTTTTTTACTAGCCCTGATTAAAAATAGATTATACTTCCTTGGGACATTTTAACATGTATGATACTATGATTCCCATATTTCATATATAGAACTTGTTGTTGAAAAATCATATGACCAAAAGTGAGATGAATAAATAATTTCCACCAAAATATAGAAATCAAAATGCTCATTATTCACACCTAGACTATGTTTCTTTTTTCTCCCCATTCTGGACATATAATTGGGATTTTGATTTCAAAAATGTTGTATGTACACATTGCTAAGATGTTACTAACCAGCTTTGAAAGTCATTTTTTTTCCTGATCATCATGAAATTGTGTGAAAAACACAGATACTGAAAACTTGGTCTGTATTTCCTTAACGATTCCTAGAGTTTTCTAAGGGCACCTAACTGTTATGAAGTGAGTGATGCTACTGAACGTTACCCATAAGGTTTAATTATCCATCATGAGGACACTGTCTTCTCTCCTCTACCCTTACTTTCTGAGTCACCAGTCAGCAATCATTTTTTTGCTTGGCTTTGTTTTGTTTTTGGAAGTATATTCAGCAGATGTTTGAAAGAGAGTTTTCTATGAATCATTACAGTGGCTAGTAACACTGTGCGTGACGTATAAGAATGACCAAGTGATAATTTGGGAATTTGACCCCACTGATTTTTAAATCAGTGAGACATTTAGCACATGCTGCATTAAATGGGAAACTTGCACCTGTCAATATGCCCCAAGTAGCTTTTTATTCACACAAAGGGGAGGGCGTGGAAATGTAGCGGAAAACATACATGGTGTGTAGAAACTGGGGTCACCACTTCAATAAAGTGACTTCCCTGAACAGTGAGAAACAATTCTCATCCAAAACTCTTCTTCGTGTGGATTATTTTCTACTTATTATGGACAATATTGAATGTTATGATTAGAATCTAATAGATTATTTGATCATCCATCTTTCTCCCTCCCCTTTATTTTTTCAGAGATGAATTGATTTCCCAAAGGTTACACAGCTATTTTGTGGGAAAGCCAGCATTATACATATCTCTCCAGTCTCCTGGTACGGTATGAATTCCAAACATCTCACTCTTCAGAAGTATTTATGAAACTTAAATAATATTATATGTCCTGCTAGAGTGTAGAGCTGTTGCAAAGGTCAAATACACATTAAATCAATTAATCAATGAGCATTTATTAAGCTTTTACTTAGAGGAGAATATGCAGAAAAAGCATAAAACCCTACAAAAAATAATTTCTTTTATAGGTCTGGCAGATCATTAAGACACTGTTTAGTGCACTTCAGGTTGGAAAAGCTCAAAAGAGAGTGATTTCTTCCATCTTCAGAAGTAAGAAGAGGGCCAATGGAAACCATGTCTCCTTGTCTTGCACTGGTCTCTACATTGTTTGCATAGGTGATCAGAAAAAGATGTACCCATGATGTACAATTTGACAGCAACTTTGTAATTATAATGTATCATTTCCCCAGCAACTTATTGGTAATCTTATTAACTATAATAGTCCCCAATGCCATAATTAGCCTGAGCTACCATAAACTCTGCAATTATCTTGAAAGTAGGTTATTTCTTATTCTTGTTCTTTGTCTCAGCTACCATAATACAGATCAGAATAGCAATAATCTACATGTTTTGTCGCTAATAATATATACAGCCCCCTTTCTTTGTTTTGTTTTTAGGCAATTGGGGTTAAGTGACTTGCCCAAGGTCACATAGCTAGTAAGTGTCAAGTGTTTGGTCTGAGGCTGGATTTGAACTCAGGTCCTTCTGACTTCAGGGCTGGTGCTCTATCCACTGCACTACTTAGCTGCCCCTATAAAGACCCTTTTAAAGCATATCCATAATGTCTTGATATACATCCTGGAGGCATCACAGTAAGTAGCAACCTATGTTCTTTGGTTTGAATTAATTTCTAGGGGATCATGTGATTATAGATTTAGAGGTTAAAGGGAACTTATAAGTAATCTAGTATAAAATTCATTTTATAGATGAGTGATCAGAAGTTCATTGACTTGGTTAATATCACACACTTAATAAGCAATGGAGCTAGGGCATGAATCAAGAACATCTGGTTCTGAATCTAGTATTCTTTGCATTGCAACACATTTTTGTTTCTGAGCTTGAACTTCTGGTCCTATAGAAAAAAGGCTAAAGGAATCAGTATTATTTAACCTGGGAAAAAGAAGATTAAGGAGGGAATTTATTCTTCAAGTAGGATATGTATGAGGAAGACAGTAACTAGATATCTAATATATGAGATATAATGTAGATATCATTAATGTATGAGAAAAGAGGAATTAAGGCAAATTAAGGCAGAAAGGTAATATAATTGCAGGGATTAGAGCTCTAAAAATGGAAGAGGTATCAGATCCTATCTGGTCAAATTCCTTCATTTTCTATATGAGGAAAATCAGTCCCAGAGAAGTTAAGTGACTTGGCCAAGATCACACTATTAATACTAGAGATAGGATTTGACCCTAGGCCTTTGTCTTCAGACAGGGTTATAAAATAATAGTATGGATTGCACAATAGTATGGTTGTAGAGTCTCTTTCCCTGATACTGTTTGAGGAAAGGAAAACCAAGTCAAAGATCTATTGCAAAAAAGAAAAAAAAAGAATACCTCTCCTAGACAATCAATCAGTCACCCAACCAGACAACCAAGATGGGGGAAAAAGTTTCAAGCATCCAATTATGTGAGTAGATCTTTCCAGGTCAAGCTCCAAATTCTAAAATTCTTTTCTAAAATAAATTTGCCACTTATCCTATTCCACTATGATTTTTCACCCAAGGAGTAATAAAGTTGTTATTTTATGAGGACTATTCAATTGTATACTCTAACCTAGGGGTGGGGAACCTGTGGCCTTAAGGCCACATGTGGCCCTCTAGGTCCTCAAGTGCAGTCCTTTGACTGAATCCCCTTAATAAAAAGGGATCTTACACAATAGAAAAGCATAGAAGGTAATTAAGTATTTGACTGTGCCCACATCTATTTTATCCCCCAATAGACACTCTAGAGACAAGGATATCATGACCTACTTTTCATGTAGACACATATGCTTATCAAATAGTATTAGCCTAAACTCAAAATCATTAATAATAGGATTTGGAAGGTCACATATGGACTTAAGATGACAGATTCCCCAACCCTGCTTATCCCCACCCCACCCTATGCCTTGCCTGATACATACACACATGCACCTGTCCTTTTTTTTTTTCAAACAAGCTTCAAACATAAGTTAGCAATGGCAATCATATTTTAGTAGATTGTGCTAAAGAAAACATCTGCTTTCTTAATTTTTTTTGCATGTCAACATGTGGCTTTTGTTGTTCCAGAGGTCTTTTAAGCATATTTTACATGGTGTTCAAGTAAATTGTTACCACAACCTACTTAATCTGATATTTTGGCTAGAGGTTTCCTAATGGAACTAGGTTAAGGAATTTTTTTGGCCTGGATGACTTAAGTGAAGTCCATAATCTGTCCAAGGCACTCTCTTAATAAGAAATTTTCCCTCTTTAATTTTAGGCTCCTATAGAACAGGACCACTCCACCCTCAAACAGGCCACAAGAGTATCTTCTTTGAAGTCTGGCAGCTGTTGAGTGAATCGAAGTGTGGTTGACTTGCTCTGTCCTAACCCATGAGAGTTGAGCAGCTGACAACCTACCAAGAAAACCAAGTAAATTTCTTTCCCTTAGGCAATTGTAAATTACAATATGAAATAATGGCACAACATTTTTCAGGCTACTGAAAAAATATAGTCACCCAGACTTTTGAAAAATCAATAGAGTAATAGTAGAATATTGGAGCTAGAAGAGAACTTGGAAGTCATGCAGTCTAAACTTTAAATATATACATGTGACTTTGTTTGCCCAAAATCAGGGCTCTTCACTATGATTTCATTGCACCATTAACTATTACATGGTTTTCCTGACAATCATGTTGAGCCTTTCTGTGTAATGCTTTTACAGCCTCCTTTGCTCTATAGCTCATATGTGCCATGTTTGAGAGTGAAGATGGAATGGTCAGGAATCTAAATAAAATGAACACTGACCTAGAGTGAACATTTGCCCTGCTATGCCTGAAATATAATACAGATAAAGGAGTCACTATCACCTTTCCTTAAATATTTTCTTATTCGGTTGTTTTTTGTTTTGTTTTTGTTTTTGTTTTTCAGAGGGGTTATTTCAAGCATGTGGTTTTCTGAGGGTATGTACATTTCCCTTCATGGTATTAGGCAGTGCATTGTAGTCAAGAATTTTCTGTGCTGAGAGCCAAAAGATAGTTTCTAACCCCAGTTCTTTTGTTTGTGACCTTGAAAAAGTTTATATTACCTCTCTGAACCTCAGTTTTCCTCTATATAAAATAAGGAAGAGTTGCCATGTACACTTGCTATGGCATCTTTCCTCTCTAATGCTCTTCAGCTTTTTCTCTATAAAATCCTGAAAGTACTTAGGGCAATTTGAGTACTATAGATTGGGGATAGACACTAGTTTTCTGAGAAATTCCACATGCATGTGACCTAATGTATAGATGAAATTGAACGATGTTATTTGTATTGTGTGGTGTTTATCAGCAAACAATGTGGCAGTTAATTATTCTAGGTATAAACTGGCATAGATATAATCCCCCCACCACTGTTGCTACTTTTCTGCCAATGAGAATATTTTAAGAAAAAGATTTCAAATGACAGTCCCCCCCAAAAAAAATAACAGATTTGTAGCTGCTTCATGGAAATTTTACTACAAAATTCCAGTTTGTAGTATAAGATATAACTGAAAGATTTCACTGCTAACAAAGATTTCTGGACTGGATTAAGAAATATGCACTTTAAAGAGTAAGCTGTAATAACAATTTCTTATGATCTGAGGATCATTGAATGGCAGTTTATAGTATTTTGCAACTTGATTTTAAACTGTTCTGTAAGGAGCTGAGGTTGATAAAAGTGAATTTGAGTGCAGTCTTGTCTAGAGAATGGTGATAATGCCTTCTTGGGTTCTTTTCCAATATGGTAGCTCAATGAATCTAAAAGAGCCTTTATCATATCTTCTCTTGATACCTTCCTACATTTTTCCTGCAGGAATCATATATCTCAACAGAAATAGCTATCCAGGAAGACCATCTTATAAAGTAGGAGACCATGCAAGATGGTTAAGGAGTTGACTCTGCCTACATCCGTTTTAATCCCCAAAACACTAGCTAGGGACAAGGATTTCATGACTTACTTTTCATGTAGACGCATATGTTTATCAAATAGCATCAACCTGAACTCAGAATGAAATGTAGAGGAGGAAAGAATACACATCTCTGGGAAGTGAACCCTTGCAAAAGCACTGAAGCCAAGGAATGTGTTTGTTTATTCTATATTTTGAAATAGCAGATGTAATAAGGTTCCTGTTAATTTCTAGGTGACCTTCAAAAGATAAGACTCTCTGGTTAAATATTGAATATCATCCAACAGCATTTATATTGAAAACATTCTTTGTATATCCAAATGGGTCTATGACTTATTCCTTGGAAGGTTAATATAAGATATTTTCCCCTTTGCAACATCTATTAGGTTTAGGCCATCCTTTTAGTGAGGCCTGTTTTACTTATTACAAATTCAACCGGATGTATATTTATATGTAATTTTTTATTGTTGATAAATTCTAAACCATTGTATCAATCTGAGTTAGGAGTAAATGATGTCTTGGTGAATCTGAATGTAATCTCATCCTCATCCCCTATTTAATGTTTGCATATTCCATTAAAGTGAAATTTCTAAGTTCAGCTGATTCATCCCGTTCTCTATTCCATTGACTATCTGATGTCTTCCTCTTTCAAAAGTACTTAGAAAAGTCATTGGTATGGATAGGGTACCACATTTTAAAATTCCTAACAGTACTTTACCAGCATATTCACTATCAGACATATTTGATTTGAGTCTCAGAGCTCACAAAAGCATAGGCAATTAAAATTGAGGCAACTCACAGCTTCCAAATTTCAATGGGCAGGCATGGGCATCCATTGGAAAGTCTTCAAGATGCATAGGACATTCAGCTCGCACAGTCAATCTAGTCAGTTGAGAAGTGAGAAAAGAAGCACTACAGATCAGATTTCCTACCACCATTACCTGCCCCGCCCTCCCCAATACCAATAAAGAGATAGATTAAGTGCAAACAAAATCCAGATCTGGGGAATTACTAAGAAAAGCAATGCATTACTTGTCCATTTACAATACTTTAAATATCAATGTTTTCTTTGGTGCAGGCATTCTCTCTCCCAAAGAAAATCTCAGTCCCTCTATTCTCTTTTAAATGGACTTCGCAATTTGCTATGGCTGGAAAAAAAAAAAAGAAAGAAAACCAAACCTCACAACTCAGTGATCAGCCATCTGAAAATGAGGTTTTTAGCTAGGCCTATCCAGAGCTGACAGGCCTGCACTCCCTCACTGGGCCAGTACTTGAAGTTTTTTCTGGCTTCATGATCAGTTAGCGAGTCAATATGCATTTATTAGTCACTGCCTATATCCAAAGCACTATGATAAGTTCTAGGGACACAAATAAAGGCACAAACCAATCTCTACTCTCAAGGAACTTACATTCTAATAGGAACGACAATATATGAATAACTAGGTATGCATAATGCAGTATCCTATTTTACTTTGCTATTATATAATATGTAACATAATATAACATGACGCAGCATGATATGATATACTATATCTTAACACTGTATATATAAGCATATATATGTCGGCACGTATACATTTATGTATATGTGTGTATATAGGTATGTATATGTGTGTGTACATGTGTGTGTATGTGTGTGTGTGTGTGTGTGTATATATATGTATATATATGTATATATAATGTTTTCAGCCATAACAAATCATGAAATCCATATAACAGGGAATGTTGCTGTTCAGCAATTTCAGTTGACTCTTTGTAACCCCATTTGGAGTTTTCTTGGCAGAGACACTGGAATTAGTTGCCATTTCCTTCTATAGCTCATTTTATAGATGAGGAAAAGAGACAAACAGGGTTGAGTGACTTGCCCAGGATCGTACAGCTATTAAGTGTCTGAAGCCAGATTTAAACTCAGGTCTTCCAGATTCCAAGGCTGATACTCTATCCACTGCACTATCTAATTGTCCAGGAATAGAGAGGTTGATATAGATCTATCTATCTGTCTATATCCATCAGTCCATCCATCTATCTATCTATCTATCTATCTATCTATCTATCTATCTATCTACATACATACATATATATGTGTGTGTGTATATATATGTGTATATATGCATATGTATGTGTGTGTATGTGTATATGTGTATACATATACATATATATATATAGAGAGAGAGAGACAGACAGACAGAGAGAGAGAGAGAGAGAGAGAGAGAGAGAGAGAGAGAGAGAGAGAGAGAGAGAGAGAGAGAGAGAGAACAGAAGATAATCACAAAAGGGAAGCATTGGTAGCTGGAAGAATTGGGGAAGGTCTTCTGTAGAAGATGGGATTTGAACTGAGCCTTGAAGAAATGGCCAGAGATTGCACTTCACCTGGCATAGACTTTGACAACCTAGGGATACTCCCATCCTGAAATCTGTGATGAGGCAATAAAGGATTAGATAGATAGATAGATATCTTTATAAATGATATATAAAGATAAAGATATATATACGTATTTTATATAAAAAGATCATATATACACACATGTGTGCATGTGTGTGTGTATATATATGCACATATATATACATATTTATACTAGATCTATAATATTATTAATGAAAGGAATCTCTTATGAAGAAACCCCTTCTACTAGTATAGGTCTGTAAGTATTCTTATAGACCTGACTGGGTCACTGAGAGATTATGTAACTTGGGCAAGGTCATATAGCCAATATATGACAATATGGAGCTTAAACTGAGATCTTTGTGGCTCTACCCACACCATGCTACCTCTATGACTACATACACACACATGTGTATATATGTATATACATATAACAAATAATTTTAAAAAATAATAATGAGTGTCTTTTGTTTTCTACCACCATTCTTTCATGAGAAAAGCATCCAATTTCTCATTATGTATGGTTTACAAAATATAGTTTCATGATTTGGAGATCACTTCTCACTAATTGGTTTACAAAGGCAAGTACAAGTGTGCATGTATTGGGGGTGTAATAGGAGGGTCAGCAGAAAGGAAAATTGAATTCAGCTCTTTTGATTTTCTTGAAGATGCCTTTCAATTCCCTTTAATATTTAGATATAGCATCCTTGCCCCTCTTCTGCCATCAGGAATTTCCCTTCACTCCAAATACATACATATGTACACATATGTAGATGAAAATATATCCAGTAATTTAATGGGGTAAATCAAGAATGATGCTCTGATCACGATACCTCAGTGAATGGAAACAACCAGCCTTTGTATTTGCCTGTTAATTGCTTGATTCAAAGAAAAAACAGAAAAAAAACCCCAAAACTTGACTATTCCTTCAACCCAAATACATTATCTTTGTTGTTTGGGAGCATGATTTTGAGTAATTATTAAACCTTAGTTTTCACTTAAAACATGAAAAAACATAACAGATAACTTAAGAAGTTTCCTGTAAGATGTTTTGACTTATGCCTAGGCTTTGTATAATCTATTAAATGAAATTATGTGTATTTCCCAAACCTATCTTATCCATTGATATTTGAAAGACACAGATTATTTAATACATTTGGAGAGAAAGATTGTGAATGTCTAATACCATGAGATCATCATAATCTCAGCTAAAAAAGTGAATTATTATGGCACCAATGAATACAGTCACTAAGTTTTCAAGGTTACTTTCAAACTTCCAAAGATATTACAATGGTAATAGGATGGATCGTGTCCTGGAGCAATCAAATATCATCAATTAGCAAAGGGCAGTTAGAAATTTAGCTAACGGAAGGAACATGGTTATTTTTTTTTTGTAATGAGAAAAATTGCACATATTCATAGTGATTAATCTTGAAAAAAAGGTAAAGATACAAAAAATCCCAAACCAGCAAATTGACAGCTGGGCAGTGAAAAGATTAGCATTGGATTTGATTAACCAGTCACAAAGCTTTAAGGCCAGCATTTTGAACATAAACAGATCATGTCTAGAATATTTGGCAAAATCTCCCCACACATGGCCAATTGTCCCCCTATTTCTTTCTTTCTGTTGTGTGTTTTTTAACATTGGAACCCACACACTCGCACCAATTCGAGCCAGCTGGGACCAATATCGAAAGCAGCTTTTCAAATATTTTTGAATCTCAGTGAATGAAAATCCAGGATTGGCAGTACTCTAAAGGCAAAATATAATTCTACCTCCATGAAAAAACATGTCAAATGAGCCCAGAATTTGCTTTCATTACCTTTGTACATCAAGGGAGAAATTACATGACTCTAGTTGCCTAATTTGGAACTAATTCACAAATAGAAAACCCTTTTCAAGCTATCGGCAAATGGAACAATCACTTTCTCATAAGTAATATGGTTCTCTATGTTTTAAAATTTCCAACTGCTTATCTTCCCTTAAAAAACCTATACAGATTATATGAATAATGTTTATGTATGTACATTATTTGTCGCCAATGGAATGGGGGCGATGAGTTTTCTGTTCATGTATTCCATCTATTTACAGTCTTTATAGATTCCTCAGAATGATTTCAAAAGGTAAAGGAGGCTTTCTTTTCTTACAACCAACAAATATGACTTTAAACTGTCCTTTAAAATATACAATTCCTGTTTCCTATTTCATTTATTACTTTTCAGATTTCCTTTTGTTTTGTTTTGTTTTGGTCTCTCTTTCTCAGAGGTAATACTTTCATTCTAGGTAACAATTTACTGGTAAACCAACATCGAATCAATACCTTGTGCAGATGCAGAAATCTAAGATACACCAAAGTAAAGGGAAAAATCAAAGGAAATAGAAAACACTTTAAATTGAAGTGGGTTGGCTCCAATGGGAAGTAGAATAATAGAGACAGGGCAGAAACATATTCACTAGTGGATGCATAGGGTGTTGGCTCTTACCTCATGGTGTACAGCAGGGTGCCATCCTCAGTAATGCGAAGCAGCTTGTTTGGCATGGTCATATTGTGGGCCACAGATTTCTTCCCATTGTGAAAGAAGGTATCAGGAGTCCAAATTTTACTTGCCATTAGGTTATTTAACCGAAGAACAGTCATAGGCCCTTTGAATTTGAGTCTCTCATCCTTCCAGCTTTGACGGAAAAATACATCTATTGTATATTCCTAAACAAATTTGGAAAATAATTAAAAAGTTTTATGGGCTATGTTTTGTACTGCAAAATGAGTTACGATTTTTTAAATACCATTGAGACTGAAGAATGACCAGTTTTTATTATATAGTTTTTCAGAGAAAGTTCTTTTTAATTTTGTTATTTTGATGATCAAACATTTTTGGTGTCATCATCATGATATTAAGTGGTAGCTTTGCTTGTGCATGCTTGTATTAGAAAAAATTATATTGGAGGAAAAGTCAGAAATTATTAGTTAAAACAATAACAGAAAGATCAACTGTAATATCTGAGGACCACACTATTTCCTTTTGTTATATATTCATTTATAGACGATGTTAAATTTTCTCTACAAGAAAGAGACGTTTGTTTAAATGTTATTGAAAAGGAACAGCAAAAACTAAAAGAGGAAACTGTATGTGAGCAATGTAATAATATGCGTACGTATTGCTCATATGACTTTAAGATCTATTAAGCAATATATAAACAATCTCATTTGAACTTTGAAAAATTACATGAAGGATATGCTTTGATTCTTTGATTCACCCATTTTATAGAAGAAGAAAGTGAGGTTCAAGAGATTAAGTAAGTTGTCCAGAGTTACATAGCTAATTAGAATGGCAAAATTCAGGCCAGTTTTTCCTGAATCAAAATCCAAAACAGTAGCTACTTTGTGCATCGACTCTCTATAAGTCATTCTTTCAAAGAAATAGGTGTTAAGACAAGGACAAGGGTTAAATATGAAATAATAAACATAGAGGGAATTTTCAGATTTTTATTTTAGTCATTCCTTTGTTAGGTCAACAGTTAAACCATTCTAGACATATGAAGTGCTACTGCACTATTATTTCAAGCCTAATCTCTTTGCTACAATTTTACTTTTGTTCCTTTTCATTCTCTACTCAGTGGGAAAATACATACTATTCCCTATCAAACTAGTGCCTATATGTGGAAAAGATATGGAGGACTTGGAAAGGAAAGGAAGACCTCTGTCTGCTAGTTTATTTTTCAATAAACAAAAGATATTTGTGAGATACATGAGATATATGTAAGTAAGAGGAATGTGAGAAGCTCATTATCATTCTTTACCATATGAGGCCACCTTAGAATATATTTGAACAAACATTGCATTTTACTTGACAGTAGCTAGAACCAAACATCTATTAATCCTTAAACAAGCAATAGGAGTTACCAGCTCTTGAAATTGAAAAGGTTAATGTCTCCTTACAGTACTTGCTATCCTGATGCTGAATTTAGAGCTAAAGGTCTTGCCATTAAACATCCCTCATGAACACCAATATTAGCATTCCCCAAAGTGGAATGTAGGCAACCTGAGAAACACTATGATGCTGTGTAAATTGTCTGCTTTCTCGTTAGAGAGCCAAACATAAAGGAAGCTACACGTAAGTTTTCTTTTTTTTCATTTTTCTCTCTCAATACAAAACAAAGCAATACCTGTCTTTGACTATTTTAAGGTGTTTCACTATGAATACTTCAGTCTACAGGACCCAGAAAGAACAAAGGAATGACTATATCATTATTGTGATATAAAAGCAATTGTGTAAGTCCTAGACTTGGGAGTCATGGACTTAAATGGGAGACATGGATTTAAATCTTGCCTTAGATACTTATGGAAATGAATGATCACAGACAAATTACCTAAAATTATGATGGCTAGAAATAAAAGTTTCCAATCTCACTATAAAGATACAGTGGTCAAAGAGGGAGAGTATATATAACTCAGTGTAATCCAATCTGTATGGACTGAAAACAAAAAAGACATGATAAAACACTCCTAGGACACATAATTGGTTCTAATTTTCCTACTCTATTTTTAAATCATGTTTTCAATTTTAATGATGTAGAGATCACTAGGAACTTTATTTATTAATGTACATAGGCAACTTCTCTGTAACTTAATCTAATAGTCACCTTACCATTTATTAATAACTTACTATGTGCCAGGCTCTTGGTCAAAGAGTTTGAGATATAAGGAAAGGCAAAAAAACTAGCCCTTGCCCTTAAGGAGTTCCCAGTCTAATGCAGGAGACAACATGTAAATAACTAAATCACTATGTACAAATAAGATATGTGTATAGATATAGATATAGTTATGTGTGTATATTTATATAGTTAAGCTCCAGAACTAGACATGTGAGATGAATCTTTGGGGGAAGGTACTAAGATTAAGAAGGACTGGGAAAGGCTTCTTGAACATAGTGAAACTTTTGCTGAAATTTGAAGGAAGCCAGGGAAACAAGGAGGCAGAGATGAGGAAGGAGAGCCTCTAGGCATGTGGAATAGGCAGTGAAAATGATCAGAGGCAGGATATGCAGTGTCTTGTGTGAGAATAGCAAGGAGGCTACTGTCACTCCATCACAGAGTGCATAGAGGGGAGTGAAGTTTAAGAAAGCTGGAGGGGGGGGAATAGAATTTTGCCTGGGGCACTGGGAGGTTAAATGACTTACTTGAGGTAAAACAGACAATATGTATAAAAGGCAGGACTTGAACTCCGGACATCTTTATTCAGAGTTTAGTTATCTATATATTAGGTCATCCTGCCTCACACATATGCATTTAAATAAATATTTCTTGATTTAATAGTAGTAGTAGTAGTTGTAGTAATAGTAGTGGTATTTAGGCATTTGAGGTAATAGCTCTCACATTATCTATGAACAGACAACACTCCTTAAATTGACTTTTGAGACGCCATCAGAAAACCTGTATATATTATCTGTATGTCCATCACTGGTGATCCAAGAATTCTGACACAGTAGAAAAGACTATCAGAGTTGGTTATGGAGCTCAGTCTCAACATTTTTCTGATGAGGAAACTGAGACTTAGAGATCTGAAGTCTAGATCCAGTAATTTGACAGCACTTAAAGAAGCAGTTGATTATAGGCTCCTGTTCAGTCTTTATGTCTAGATGTTTTCAGATTGTTCAGAGCTAAATGAAATTATTGCTTTTGTGTTATTATTCTCTAATTCCTAACTTTAGGAACTTTTTTTTTTGCATTTTGACCCTCACAACTTCATATGTGTGTGTGTGTGTGTGTGTGTGTGTGTATATGTGCATATGCATAGGCATAATATACCTGTGTATTTGAGAATGCATAGCAGGTTTTTAAAAATGTTGAGTAGGAAAAAATTCATTTTGTTTAGAGGAGTAAAAGAAGACTGCTGGCAGGAAAGAGGGTGATGAGGAGGAGAGACAGTGGTAACAGGAAGGGTAGGCAAGAGAACTGCAGACAAAGATGGAATGCCAAGAAACCCACATTAAGCTTCACAGTTTCAGCCCACATAACCTGGATGGAATTTCTCACCAAGAAATCTTGTTCTATGGAATGTGTCCTAGAAGAATATCACCTTACTTTGTAGACATAGAGTAAAATCCTGTATGGTTCTAAATAAATACTGTAATTATTTCAGCATTCCAGCATGTAACTTCTATTCCCATCTGTGTTCTTCTACATAATACATTTTAAACACTATGGAAAACACGACTCCATTTGATGGAGCTCTCTGAATATTTCTGTCTGAGGCTAGGGCTCTGGGAATTGGCTGCCTGATTAACACTTAGTGGCTTTTAAAATAATTTCAAGGAGCTGTCCTAATTTTTTTGTCCCAAATGAAAGCAGGCTGCCTTGGTTTTATGATAAATTTTTAGAAATCAGCTTCTCATGGAAAGATATAGGAGAGTTTTTTTTTTTCTTAATTAAAAATAGTTTCATTTGGGCTGTGACATTCTGTCTTGATTGGATTTCCAGAACAGTTCCTTTACTCTGAGGTTTGTTGCTTACCACTGAATGAATGTCTTGGCTAGATTCTCCATGATGTCACTCCAATGATGATCAAATGATTTAGCTGCTCAGACTGTATTTTACTACATATTCACCACTAACTACATGTGGCAAATTGATCACACACCTATGGCTAATTGCTCAGCTGCCTAAGCAGGAATATTGGTCACTTTCTGGCTCTAAATATACAAAACAGGACAGACTTCCCTTGACTTGGCCCACCCACTTCACTACTTCTGATGTTTAACAAGAGTGTATGAGGCTAATGGGCCAATTGAAGAGCCACAGGCTGTAGAGTATAAAAATTACCTTGTATGCCATATTTCTAAGGGGCGCCATCAATCTAAGTTCAAAATAAATGTGTATATGGGGCTGTATGAAACCTTCACTTAAAAATGCTGTTTAAAAAATTTACAGTATTGTGTATGAAGGATGGTTACTAACAGACTGTGGGTAACAGTACAACCTATCCTCATTCCTAAAGATGAGTCCCAAAGTCCATGTCCCATATAATTTGAGCAATTGAAAAAATAGCATCATTTTAAAATAATATAATTAATATCTAGAATGTAGCTACTACTTTAAAGTTTCTAAACTGAAGTCTTCCTGACTACAGGACTATTACACCAGAAATGTTAAATTCACAGCCCACAGGCAAGCTGCCTGAAAAACTCCAGAGCATTGATGAAAACAAATTAAAATGAAATTGGGACTGTTTAACAAAATAAATAAAAATTCAATATGACATGCATAATGTTGATTTGTAGTTTTCTAAGTCATTATGTCATCTGCAAGGATCTATTTCTTTTTGAGATTGAGATCGCTGCACTATAGCACCTACGTGCCTAGAAAAGCTAGTATATAAGTAGCATTAAAAGATAATACCGGATGGAGGATTTGAGGTATGGTAAGACATAAATATGAGACCTCACACCTAAGTTACAAAAGAAATTCATATTTATCAAGTTTCCCTCTATGTTCAGCCTATTCTAGGAACTGGTGTAAGGCTCGGAGGAGAAAGATAGAAAAAGAGTTTAGTTTCTGTCATCTAATATAGCTGAAAAGAAGAGACATAGATTTGAAACTACTCAAGAGAAAAAATAGAATATGATATGCATGTTCAAGCATTAGATTATGCGCTAAGTCCTCAGAATTCAAGCCTGGAATTGGCCAGTCTAGGGCTAAATCATGAAGGAAAAACAAAGTTTGAATAGATGAAGAGAAATAGAAAGGAACTTACATAGGTAGGAAAGAATGGGCAACGGCATGTACATAGCAATAAACATGGTTTTGGTGCATGACAATGTGAATACAGCCCAAATTGGATTAAAAAGTTTTTGTTGGCTTTGTGGTGAGAAATAATGCTGAGGAAAGAAGATAAAATTAGAAGAAGAGTCTTGAATTTTCAAGATAAGGAGTTTGGAATGGGCTCATTATTCATTTGGGTACAATTGTGGTTTCTTAAATAGAGGGAGGATATTGATGGAGATGGCATTTTAAGAAGATTGTGATGATTATATGGGCAAAATTTTTAACAGAAGACTTTTTTTATCTGTCCAATAAGGTGGACTGATAACATGAGTTAAATGAAAAATACATATAGCTGCAAAAGTGACCTTTTAAAAATGATTCCAGCTTGTTTTCCTGCTAAATTTAAAAAAGTAATTTTTAAAAATTGAATTTGATCTATCAATAAGGTTATTATTAAATAAAGACAATAGCATTTTGCCCTATTTCTATCAGTTACTCAGTATTTAGGCTGATGCTGGAAGAAGGACTGCATGAACTGTGTTAAGATGATACCAACAGACATTTTAGAAACTAGATCATAAATCTAGACTATACAACCTCCTTAAGAATTAATCTCCTTGTGTACCTCCAGGGACTCTACGGGAAACTGATTTACCTTGCATCTTTGTCATATTAAGAATTTCGGTGCCAAACAAAGAAATTTGACAGTACATTCCAATTCCAATTGTGAGGGCAAGCTGTCGTCAATTGAACACTAGACCTGATATAACTAAACTAGTTTGCTAATATATGAGTGTCTCTTTCTTTCCCTCAACACTCCACATGCTTTGATTCCAAATACTCATGACTGAGTGATGAAGATAATTTTTCCCCATGAGAAGACAACTATACTTTAGTCATACATAGAAAAGTAACTTTACTTTACAGCTAGAATTCTATGAATGAGTTCTCAAGTTCCCTTTGTATGTTCTTTACAATACGCGCTTTGCTTAATAAATAGTTCCAGTTTCTACTAGAATGAAGAATATACATAATTAGCATAAATAGGGTTGTGAAAAAGCACATACCTGTCTCAATTTGCTTCTCATTCATGAATTTACTCTCAACAGTCCCTGTCACAGTTGAAGCACTGGTTTCTCCTTGGCTGCTCTCTGCCCTCTCTTTTATCAAATATTCACTGGCTACGTTCTTTTTTTTTTTTTTCTGTCCAGAGTAGTTTCATCAACTTCACTTTTGATTATTGTTAGAGACCAGGCTATAATCTAGGTGCATCAGAACTCATCATCCTTTAATCAACATCATTTACTTTACCAAAACTAAAGTTAATAACTTATTCTTTTCCTGGCAATCCAGCAACCAGAATCATGTTGTGATTTGAAAATGAGCACTGTAATATTCTAAAGGATAAAGTGGCTAGCATTTTTTTTAGTATGCCATAGTACAATATGTATATCCTATAATCCATTATTGAAATCACAGAAGTTGATAATTTAAATACCCTTGAATGCAGCCATTGCTAAGAACAATCACAGCTTGGCATTTTGGGAGAGGTGAAAAGTTTAAAAATAGATGCCTGTATCAGGCTACTGAAGACTAGCCCTCATGCTCTAAGTGTTCTTCCCCCTTCCCCCATCTCCAGGGAATTTTTTAAAAAAGAAACCACATCAATAAATGTGGAGCTGCAGTGTCACTCACCATATCATGGTCTGAGACGGGTCCGAAGCTGGTGACGAAGATATCAGTCTTCACTTCAGTTACACGCTCTGATGAAGCAGGAAATTGGGACAGTGAGTGTCTGTCAACAACTCTCATTAGATCTCCCCACCACAAGCTCACACCCAAATGGGAAATTTATTGCCTTTGATTAGCTATCTCTAAAATTGGTCTGCAGTGTAGTCTTGATAATTTACTGCTTACACAGGAAATTTCACAGTTGATATTTTCAGCATGGAAGAAAGTTGAAATATGCCACTTTGAGAGACAGTATAGTATTTTGCTAAATGTATAGAGATTCTTGGTGAGGATTCCATTCATTTCCATTATTGTCTAATCAATTATTTATTAATGGACAAACATGCTCTTACTAATTATATAAAAAATCTCATATTATAGTCAAAATAAATTATCATGTGTATGCATTTTTTCAATTTGTATTGCTACCATATGTTTACCACCTTTATTTCTGTATATATCTCACTGCACTAGCCAGAAGACCATCCCTTGTAATAAAGAATGAATAAAGAGGGGGGGATAGTTCAGTAAATTAAACCAAGCCATCAACTGACCCTGATAGTATATACAGAGTTCCAACCTAGTACATCACCTCTTCAAAGAAGAGAGGGAGGAACATTTTCACATTTTTTAGACACAGGCTATACTTAATCATTACAATTATAATGTAATCCAGTTCTGCTTTGCTAATTCTTTCTGTTGAAGATTTATATAGCTTAGTGTTAGACTCCTTACACATTGATCCACATTCTCTTGCTATTTGATTAATTCTCTGGAGGTACATTCTACACGTCTGGGAACTTTATTTTCTTTAACACAATGTTGCAATTTATCAATGCCTGTTTTTTATGTCCTCAGTTGTATCCAAATGATCCAAATTATTCCTTGAGAAAATCTGCCTTAACTTCTACTGATGTCTTCAAAGATGGCAACAAATAATACACAGATTATGGCATACAAACTGTTCATTTAATAGAAAACATTTCAAGTTCAACTTGACTTTATTTTATTGGCCTTTGGTGACATATATATCAACCAATAAACAGAACTTTATTGCAGTGTTGTGACTCTTCTGAACATCAACAGTGACATTTCCTAAGAAATACAGTAGCAGTAGAAGAAATAGAGTAGTGTTGTTTACATGAAAGAAAAAAAAATTGTTGAAGTACTTGAAAATCATCTGCCTGTGCCTGTGTGTAATACATTACACAATATTCATGCTTTGATTATCAGCAATCACAATTCAATATGTCAATTCATTTATTAAAATAACTGCATCTGACATAGAATGTAAAAATGGAATGCTAAAATTAAATTACCATCTGATTTCTTATATCTTATTTATAATATTAATATGTAATATATGGACATAACATTAATATCTAACAAAATAATATGTTACATATAATGGCTATATTTAATCTTTTTTTTTTTACTGGACCATGCATGGCAAATTTCTGGAGAAAAATTCCCTAATGGAATCATGTAATTCAGTTATATTTTATGAAATTCCAAAAATACTTAAGTAGCATATGCAAGCTACTATGCTGGGTTCTGGGGATCTACAGGCAAAAATAAGACAGTCTTTTTCCTCAAAAAATGTTTGTTCTGTCACAGAGACGAAAAGTGCACACAAATGAGTAGAGTACCCAGAAGACTGAAAGAAGAAGAGAGCAGCAGCAATGGAGGACTCCATTGGAAAGATGCCACCTGAGTGAAATCTTGCAGGAAGAAAAAGGATTCTGAGAGGCAGAGATGGGAAAATCTGGTGCAAGCTTCTAACTGAACCTATGCACAGAGGCAGGAGAATATTGAACTCAATGAATGTTTGACATTCCTGTTTGGTTGGACCAGAAAGTCTTTGAAGGCGAGTTATGTGCAGTTAGGCTGAAAAAAAAATGGATTGACAGATTATGGAGTCTTAAATGGCACAGAAAGTATTATGTACTGTGTCCTAAATTCAGTGATGACTAAAAGAGCTTGTGAGCAAGAGAAGATATGGCAATACTTGTACCTTAGGATGATATTTTAGCAATGGTGTGTCTTAAATTGTAGAGGAAAGACACAAAAGTCAAGGAGAACAAATAGGAGGCTATAAAATTTGTCTAGGAAAGAGATGATTAGGGTCTGATTTAGGTTTGTGGCTATTTTGTTATGGCAAAATTGAAGACTTGTCAACTAACACGATTTGGGATATAAGGGAGAGAATAGATTCTAGGTATTGAACAAGGAATATGTTGTCAGAAATAGTCACTGTTTTGAGTTACTTCGCTTTATATACTTTCTTATAAGGGAAGAGTCTATGGAGGAAGTTCAGAGGTCCAGGAAAGTGACAACAGTAATAAAAATGTCAAAAATATTTATCATTTTTTTTTAAAAAAAGAATCAATGATAACTTCAGGGCTATAAGACATACACACATGAGAGAAAATAATTTTTTTTCAAATGATAAAAAAATCTGATTTTATAAATAACTCAACAGGTATTCTTTACAGTGTATTTGCAACCTCTTAAAAACTATCTAATATAATTAAGTCCAAGAAAATTCAAAATCTCTCTTCATTTCTGGTTCTTGCAGAGTTGCCTCTGAAAAACATAAACATGGGGTAGCCAAAGAAAATGGGATTGTTACTCTATCATACTAGCCTTTCTGATTCCAGATTAGATTTGGAGGCAAAATTGTGATCTCATCCAATACTCCTAACAACATTAGTCGGAGATGTCTTCCTGGTCTTACTGTACAGTCTCATACTAGCTTGATGGTTTAGTTGTGCTACATTATGTTTTTCTTGAAATCAAAGTAAATTTAATCAAAAATTTATCCTGTACTAAAACAATTTTGGAAGAGATTCGATACTGAAAACTAATTTAAAGAGAAAATATCTTTATTCTATTCCAACAAAACTCTGATTTGAGCAGTGAACGTATCATCCATCATATCTTTAACATAATGGATATACATTTATAGTTGTCCTGAAAGTGCCATTCTCTCATGGTACATGATAGACTTTAAAATATTAGCCATCTTTTTATTCTTCAGTAGTCATACAATAGATAGAATTCTTCATTGAAAAGAACAAGAGGTGATTAATTGGTGTCTTAATTTTTATCTAGATGAACAAATATAGATAAACAAACATGAAAGCACCATAAGTATGCTAACCAATACTTTATTATTACATTTTGCCATTATTACAGATACATTGAAAAAGGAAGTTATCCAATTCATTTAGATCTTCCAATGGCTTGAACTTCCACTTTAGCATTTGACTAATTATATGATTCAATTTTGCTTTGTTTCTATGTCTGACAGCCAGTACTATTTTAAATAGTATAAGTACTATTTAGGATAAAGTGATGTGCATGGGCTGGAGATGATGGTGATCTTTGTCAGCTTTTATTTTTGCAGTATAAACTTCAAAAAGAAGATTGACTTACATGCATTTTATGAACACAGTTGGCTTATTGATCTCTGTCTACACAGCTACACGTACCAGGCAACTTGAGGTAGGTGCATTGATCTGTCCATTGTCATTAATTATATTACTCAGAGTGAAATTTGATATCTGTACTTTGTGGTAGCCCCAAGGTTTATATGGGAAGTAATCAATTCCATTAACAATTCATTCCCAAAGGTATGAGTATCTGAGATTTATTAGCTTCCAGAATGATTTAATGCTAAAAAGAAACAAGGAGGCCACTGTCTCAAATAACATAGGTACGTGAAAAAATTCCCAACTACAAAGAGCCCAGATGACTTTATTAAGAATGGTTTATACCAAATTAAATTCATTCCCTTTATAGGTGGGTTTATAGAAGTACAGCTTACCTAAATTGTATTCAGACTCAAGGCCTGTTCTTAAAGACAAATTGCAGTGAATAGGATAAATAACAGGATGATTGAAAGAGTGTTAATTGAATGGACATACTCAAAGAGTAATCATCAGTATTTAAATGACAACTTGAACTTTTGTTCAATGTTCCAATATCAAGTTGAATTGTGATATGCTATTGCATATACATCACATTGAGCTAGTCTCTGGGTGTATATTTATGAGTGTGAGTGCATGTGTGTCTCTAGGTAGTATGACATAGTAGATTGAGAAGTAGAAATCTGGCCGCAGAATCAGGAAAACTTCGTTTCAAGTCCTACTTTTGATACACATGTTGGTTGCTTGTCCTTGGTCAAGTAATCTCTCTAAGAACGTATGTCATATGCATGATGGGTATCACATTGCTTGCCTTCTCAATGAGCGGGGGAGATACTTTAGGAAGAGAGATAATTTGGAGCTCAAATTTTTTTAAAATAGACTATTAATTTTTTAAGTAAATAAAAACCATTATTACTAAATAGTTGCTTATTTGCATTGGTCTAAGAAATTTTATCATCCTGGAGTTGCCTATATAAATGGAATGTGAGTAGTTCCCACATTTGCACTGGGAACTCATAACACTAATAAAATCACATTGCTTAAAAGGGGGTAGACAAAGCCAAGATGGTGAAGTAAAGGCAGGGACTCACTTGAAATCTCACCCAAACCTCTCCAAATACATTAAATAATGACTCTAAACAAATTCTAAAGAGGCAGAATCCACAAAAAGATGGAGTGAAACAATTTTTCAACCCAAGACAACTTAGCAGGTCAGCAGGGTGCACCAGGGTGAGAGAGCAGCACAGTCCAGTGCACATTGCACCAGTGCAAACTGGACCCCAGGAAACCTGGAGCAGGCCTTGGGGCAACTGAATCATTGGCAGCAGTGGTGGTTTTTACAGCCCACAGACAGTAAGGAGGTTGGGCAACTGGTCAGAAGGAGATTTGTAGGGGTCCCTTTGCTGCTACCAGGGACAGGACTCTGTTGCATTGCTTAGATCTGAGTTACACTCTTGAGTCTCAGTCCCAGGGCAAGGAAGAGTATTAGAACACTAAGGCTCAGAGCCACAAGGGAACAGGGACCCTGGTCACAGTCACAAAGTGAAAAGAGTACTTGTGGTAACTCACAAACCAGTGCACAATACACAACAGTAGGAAAC